GGAGAGGGGGGTCTTCTGTAAGCAATCTGCGTCAACCGGCACGCGCTGACCCCTCAGTAGAGCTGGGATCCACACTTCCGGCTGGAATCGGATTTTTGGGAAGCTGGGTCACTCCGATCGATGCTGTCCATTATCCGCTGGACAAACCAGGCCGCGGAAAGTCGGTCACAGCGCTGTTTCATCCCGCAAAGTTTCAACCAGAACCGCTGGGCTGCGCGTCATCCTCTAAGCGCGCGTGCAGCCGCGTCCGGAGCTGTGAGGCGTAAAAGACCCAACGCGACCGGAGGCCGTGGGTTCGAGACTAATTTTTCATCTCGGTTTTCCCCGAATCCGCGGTTCTGAGCCTCTCTGAGGTCTGTGAGGTGTTCACCTGCTCCCAGACCAGCACCTGCCCCCCGGGTCTCACTCACCATGGCCGTGTAGCTGTGGATCAACATCTGGAAGCTCCGGAAGCCCCGAACGAGAAGTGAAGGCGACGCACAGGTGTGTCCGGGCGGGATCCCGCTCAGCGCTCCATCAGATGAGGCGCAGCAGCTGCTCTCCTGCTCTCTGTGTCACGGAGCCCTGAACAGCCTCTGCCAGCCTCGACGCACACGCGCGCACAACACACACGGACTCGTGCAGCCTCTCCATGAGAGCACTACTTATAGTTTCTGCGCGCGCCCGGCAGAACGAGGGGAGGGGTCGGCAGGGTCCACTTCTCTTAAAGAGACACATTCTGCCAAGTTCGTTCAACTCGCGCGCACTGAGTCGATTTTCGGTTTTATTTCGACGTTTTTGCGCGTAAAGTTACCGGTTTGAGTCGTCTTTGGACGCAGATTCCGTGAAAAACTAAATTACTGAATACAAATCCGAAATGTGGAAAGTGAAATTGAGCCCGAAGGCCTGGTGGCAGAGCCGTGCGTGTTACCTGCGCGGCCTCGATCTTGCTCCGGGACTTCCACAGCATGCCGGTGCTTCGTCCGGGTGTCAGGCCGCCGCTGGGGGGTGTGAGGCCGCCGCTGAGGGGTGAGTGTGAGGCGGAGGGAGAGGAGGAGACCGGCTGGAGGAGCAGGGAGGAGTGAGTCAGGTGGAGACGCGCAGGAGTTTCTATGGATGAGTCAGAGGAGGAGGGAGGGGAGGGGAGGGTTGGGGGGGGGGGGGGGGGGGGACTTTTCGGGGTTGGTGCTGCCATGCTAAAAGTACTTTAGATCTGATACAAGTCCAAAAGAAGACATACTTTATCATCATAAGCTGCACGTTTGATTGAAAAGTTCTAAAAAAAAAACCTAAAAGTTTCTGTTAAAAAGATAATAAAAAACTTAAATGAACCTTGAAGAGGAGAGAAAACCAGAACCTGCATCATACAAACCAGAATCAGGACCAGCAGCTCTTTGGGAATCCTCAGAAATCCTGTTTCCTGTCTGTCAGAATGTCTTTTCTTTGGCCTTTTTCCTCCATCAGCTACAGAAATAGAACAAATGATGTGTCGACAGGCTGCTGCTGACAAAGAACCTAAAGATCCACTTTGAGCTGCTGCTCTGCTGACTGGACACAATGCTGGCTCATCCCTTGAGTTAGGGGCCTTTTTCTGCCTGAAGGACTCAGAGTTCAGAGGCTGAACAGAGAAAAGACACAAAAACTGGACTGAAAACAAGAGATGCAGAATAAACTCTTCAGAGCTGCTTTCCTTTATTCAGGTTTTTCTTCTTATCTGTTGGAGTTCTGCTATTTCCAGCTCATCAAACACACATCAGCAGTTTAAACACGTTAAGGTGCTTCATTCTGAGGACTTCTCCAAACCTTTAAAAGGCCTAAACGTCCAAAAGCAGCTTATCGTCGCTCCGTGAGCTGACAAACAGCTGCTGTTATTCTGGGACTGCAATTCGGCCTCTGATTGGTCGGTTTGGTCTCAGGCTGTAGATGTGAGAGATGCTCATTTTGTTGATCATTTTCAGGCCGCGTGCGTTCAGGTCTGACTGAGGTCTAAGCGTGCCCCCTGGTGGCCGGTTCGGGCATCGCCTCCCCGGGAGGGAGGTCTCCTCAGCATCAAAAACCCATCAGGGCCCGTCTCTCCTCTGATTGGCTGTTTCCGCCTCTGATAGCTTCCGGTTTCCGCCCCAAAAGCAGCTTCACTTTATTCACTCTGTTCAGACTTTATTATTTAACAGAATCAGTTCATATACAAACAACTGCTCCTTCTCTCTCTTTAATTCTTAAAGTGTTCAGTTTGTTTCTGCTCACGTTTCAGTCCAGATGGAAGTTTGGTGCACAGAGGCGTCAGAGCAGCACACATTTAAAGAGACAGGACCCCCATCAGGAGTCCCTCGGCCTACAGGAGCCCCATCAGGAGCTCCATCAGGAAGCCCTCAGAACCCTATCAGCCTACAGGAACCCCATCAGGAGCCCCATCAGGACCCCAACAGGACCCGATCAGGACCCCCTCATGAGACCCTCAGGAGCCCCCTCAGGCTGCTCATCCTGCTGGCTGCTCCCCCCTCGCTGCTCGTCACGGCGTCGGCGATCTCCTGCCGACAGTCGGGGCACACCTCCGCTGCAGCGCACAGCGCCTCCTCCAGCGCCTCCTCGGTGTGGCGGTCGGCCCGCTCGCCGCCCAGCACGCCGCCCAGCGCGTGTCTGAGCCAGCCCTCCTCCCTGAGCAGCGCCGCCAGGCCGGGCTGGGCCCGGACGCAGCCCCCCAGCGCCTGCAGGCTCAGCCGCCACAGCTCGCCGGCCTCCGCCCAGCTCTCCTCCCAGCCGCCGCCGCCCCGCCCCGGGTCCAGGGCGCCGCTGAGTAGCCGCAACGCCGCCGAGAAGAAGCGCCGCTGGTTGGCTGCTAAAGGTCCTGTGGGGGACAACAATTACCCATGATGCAACACAGCGGGTCTCAGAACCTCCCCCACCCCCCTCAGGACCACAGACCCGATTCTGAGTGCAGACCCGGGTCAGTTTTCCTCCTTTTAGATCTCTGACTTCCCTTCCTGGATCACTAACGAGCAGGAGGTGTGGCAGTTCTCTCACCTGGAGGAGGAGACCTCAGCCTGCCAATCATCAGCCCCAGACAGCAGTAATTGGCTGCCAGGACCCGGAGGCGGGGCTTGTTCACCAAAGCAGGAAGTGCTTCGCTCAGATGGGCCTCCAGGGTCCTGAAACACGGGTCCGTCCTGCAGAACCAAACAGCTCGGGTCAGGCTGGTCAGGCTGGCCGGCCGGGGGCAGCGGCAGCCTCGGCGGCCTTTACCTGACGCGCTCTGGCTCGGTGACGGCGAAGTTCAGCAGGGCGGAGCACGCCGTCTCCAGGCCGGGGTCTCTGGCCGCGCCGCTCTTCTTCTTCAGGTGACCCCAGCCCTGCGACAGGAAGTCCAGCAGCAGGGCCGGCGCCTCCAGGCTGAGCAGCACCTTCCTGGGCGCCTCCTCCGCCGACAGGTGGCACAGAGCCGGCAGCAGGTACCTGTGGAGGGGGCGGAGCTTTAGCTATGACGTCACAGCAGGCTTGGATCGGGTCACCTGGCGGCCGCTACCTCAGAGCCTGCCCGCCCCTGCAGGCCCCGCCCTCCTCTCCGCCCGACGCCTTGGCCGCCCACTCAGACAGTCCGGGCATCCCGTCCTGAAGGTGGCGCCGCCCGTAGCCAATCAGGAAGGGCAACAGCGCGGTCACTTCCTGCTTCAGACAGGAAGTCTCCTCGGCCAGCCACGAGCACAGCGAGCGGAAGGTGGCGAACACAAAGGGGTCGTCATAGCGACTGGGGTCCACCTGTTGGAGGAGGAGGAGGTGAGGCGGCAGGCAGAGTGCCACAGGATGATGTCACACCGGGGTGGGGGGGGGCTCACCTGCTGCAGGTGGTACACCACAGCATTGAAGGCCTCCTCCAGGACCCCGAGGACCTGCCGGCTCTGCTGCAGGCTGAGAGCAGAGGCGCCGGCGTGGGGGGGCGGGGCCTGGGCGTCGCCACACGCCTGCTCGATGGCGGCCTCCATGATCCGGTAACAGCCTGCGAGCAGCGGCACAGACTCATCACTCTAAGTTCATAATAAATAAGTTCACAAACCAACATCCTAATAAATAAGTTAATAAACAAACATCCTGATCGTAAACTCACAAACAAACAAAGGTCCTGATGATAAATAAGTTAATAAACAAACAAACATCCTGATATTAAATAAATCCACAAACAAACATCCTGATCATTAACTAATAAACAAAAAAACAAACAAACAAACAAACATCCTGAAAATAAATAAGTTCACAAACAAACATCCCGATAATAAATGAGTTCACAAACAAACATCCTGATAATAAATAAGTTCACAAACAAACATCCTGATAGTAAACTCACAAACCACCAAACATCCTGACGTTTAATAAGTTCATAAACAAACATCCTGATGTTAAATAAGTTCATAAACAAACATCCTGATAGTGCTCTACCTGTCAGCGTGTGCTGCAGCTCCAGGCTCAAGTCGGTCCCGGGCGGCTCCTCTAAACCCATCCGGACCTCCACGCAGGCCCGGTTCACCAGCAGGCAGCAGAACTTTGGGGAACCCACATGCTCCCAGCCGAACAGGTCCAGCAGGCAGGCGCTGAGCACCAGGACCGGCCCGATCTGTCGGGGCGTTAGCTTAGCCTGCAGCATGGGCCGCATGGCCTCCCACACCCGGCCCACGGCGCCCCTCAGCTCCTCGCCGTCTGCACCGGCCTGCCCCGCCGGGGGCAGGAACTGCACCAGCTGGGCACACAGACCCAGCCGGTTCTGGTCCGAGGCCCGGCAGAAGTCTGTGCAGAGGGAGAGCAGCAGAGCACGGAGCTCTGCGGAGTGTCTGCTCCACGCTCTGTCCTTTGTGGGACCACACAGGAGGCCCCCCAGCAGGGGGAGCCCCCTCTGGTGGCTCAGGGTCCGGTTCTGCCGCACCGCCTGGCAAAGAGCCGGGACGGCGCCCCGGTTCAGGAGCTGCTCGGCCCCCCTGGGAGAGGCACACACGGCCGTCAGCACCTGGTAGCAGTCTGCAGCCACGGCCTGGTCCAGCCCCGGCTCCCCCGATTCGCCACAGCCCAACGGGACCTCAGCGTCTGGACTGTGTCCGGCCCAGTTCTGCTGCTTCCAGCCCGGACCGTTTGCCAGGACGCCCAGCAGGATGGGCACGGTGCTGAGGAGCTGGGGGCGCGAGGCCATGTCCGGGTCGGTGCTCAGGGCCGCCAGCAGGGCCGAGCCCAGAGACAGGAGCTCGTCCGGGGGCAAGGCCGGGCCCTCGCTGCCCTGGAGGGCGGTCACCAGCAGCCGGGCGGGGAGGTCCAGGCCCACGGCCTGGAAGATGCGGCGCAGGGTGGGCCGGTCCAGCTGCTTAGCCGGACACAAGCGAGTGATCTGAGGGGGACAGAAAAGGAGAGGCTCAGCTGGGCTCCAGAGGCCTCCAGGCACAGAACCTCCAGAAAACATGGAGGGAAATCAGTTGAATTAAAGCAACTTTATTAATCCCACAGGGGGAAATTGAATTTGATGCAGCAGTAACGGTTAGAGAAACGGAGATAAAGAGGTCTTCTTGGGCCATCGGACTGTCAAAGCACAGCGAACTCGACGCCTCCTGCGTCACGTGCGCCGTGACGTCATGACACTCACCAGCAGCAGTGCAGCCAACGTGTGACTGTCGTTTTTCGCGTGGCTGAGCGCGTGAAGACACCTTTCCAACACCTGTCCCTGGGCCTCCGCCAGGCCACCACCTCCTCCGTCACCTCCTTCTCCCGGCTCCTCCAGGCCGGACTTCGGGCTGCTTTCACCGGGCTGAGCGCCGTCTGTGTCCGCCATGGCGGTTCTGAGGGGTCAGAGCGAGCAGGCTGTTGAGGTGAGCCGCTTATGGCTCGGTTTCCCCAGAAATCCGCCTGTTAGCACCCCAAACACGGAAAGTAATCGTTCAGCACAACTTACTCCGAGCACAGCTCTACAGCACGTTCCCGGGCATACACCGGAAGTAAACAGCCAAAACAAACCGGAAACCAATGAAAACGGTTCCACAATTTCAGCCAACCAATCACAGAGAGGGTTGTTGAAAGGCGAAGACGCCATTTTAGCTTGTTTTGAAACGCAGTAGAAACGAGGCTCTGCGTGTTTATCAGCCAAAATGGTATCAAATTAATATAAAAATAAAAGTATTTGAAGATTTTTTTGTGAATGAATCGTACTCAATTTGACCAGATTATCGG